GGGAATCAATCTTCCTTCAACTTTACAATCATCTCTTCGTTGTCTACTAATACTTCTTCTTAGGCATTTTTGGTATTCAACCCTTTATCTAATGGAGCACTTATAATTTATTTTGATTGTTTATCTTCGAGAACACTAATCATGTAAGACGTAATGGGTTCCTATGCAAAGAATTTCTTGGGAAAGTACTCAAGCAAAGTTATGGGTGTACAAGAAGACAATTTATAGTCTTCATCTTCACTGATAGATGTCTGGGAAGGACTTTTGTTTTTACCCGACATTTTCAATTTTTAGGAGAAAGAAACCTCTTCTTTCTTTTTGGGTGTTTTAGCTTAAAGGTTAAAGGAAAAGAATGTTCTTACGGCATCTACGAGACTTCATTGTGGTCTATTCCCCTAAATCTTCGTCAACAGCTATTGAATCATCCAAAAGAGGCCACCCAGTCGGTTTGAGTTCCAAGATAGATGCCCCCAAATGAGTTTTGAGTCATCTGGTGGATTAGATGACTTGATATTAATGGTCAAAGTTTTATATTTATTTCTTTTGCTAAAGAAAATTGGTCAACCATTTTTTATCTCATCTTCCAATTCAGACGATTATACCCAAATATCTAGATAATTTTTCATGAGCTCATAAAGTGTTTAGATGTTGGGATTTTTGTGCCTCAACATACTTATATATGCATAAATAGTTGTCAGCTAGTCATCGATGATGAATTGCACTCGGCATACCTTATTTCCAATTAATGGTGTTTCTTATGTGGAGGTTGTTCCTCAAGATATATGGGAAACAATGATTGCACTCTTTTGTTTATGATTGGCATAAAGTAGAAAGACCCGAATGTGTCCATTGCCATATTTTTAGTTGTCATTATCTTCATTGTAATTGAGTTTAATTTTATTCACATTTAGCAGATGAAGAATATCTTCTTTCAAGTTCAAACATTTTTCAAGGGGATGACTAATGATCTGATAATATCTGCAATACTTTGGATCATCAACCATTCTCACCTCTTCTGGCCATTTGGGCATTGACAACTTAATAATTTTTCACTCGAGTAGCTGATCAAAGATATTAGCTAGTTCAGAATATGTGAAGGGATATTTCTTCTCTGTGAGTTCTTTCAAACTTGGCCTTACCTTCTTCTAAGTCTTATCATGAGTAGACTTGAATTTGAAGTCTATATTTGAATTTTTATCAAAAAAATTCTCTTGTGCGATGGCAATGGCCATAGCTTCCTTTGATTTGGAAGGTTTCACATCTTTCTTCATATCTTTCTCTTCATAAAAGTCATTTAGCTAATGACTTTCATGTCTGAAAATTTAGATCTCCAAATCATGGGCTCATGTTGTAAATTCTTCGAATGCATGTTTCATGTTTCCTTAGAGACTATAGAGTAATCTGCAATGCATACCCTGGACACACATGTCAATTGAAGATGCGTCACTAATGCGCTCCTTGCAGTTGAGAACAAGACTCCTCCAGTGCTCAATATAATCAATGGCAAATTCATCTTTCCTTTGCATTGTTCCTGCAAGTTTAAGAAAACTTACCATCTATCGGGTGCTATAGAAATGCATAAGGAATTCTTGTTCAAGTTGGTCCCAACTATCAATAGTCCTAACCGTAAGATCAGTGTATCAGTCGAATGCAACACCTCTAATAGAATGAACAAATTATTTTACCACCAAATCACCATAGGTGCCAGCATTATTACAAGTTTTTATGAAATGAGCAACATGTTGTTTTGGGTTGGCTTTTTCATCAAATTGTTGGAACTTTAGGGGTTGGTAGTCCGTTGACATTTTCATCTCATCAATTCGCCGGCTATATGGCTTGGCATATATTAATGAAGATTGCTGAGTTTATCCATATTGGCCTCGGATCATATCTTCAATCATACACTGAAGTTGTTAGACTGAAAGCACAACAATAGATATTTGAGAAGAGTCTTGCATAGCATTGTGTGCCACAGCTTGATCATACTGCTCTTTTTTTTGTTGATGTTCTAACGACTTTGCATTTTTTGGAGTATTGGTGGTAGATGGATTTAGAGTTTCTTGATTGCTCCCTTTGGAATGTTTGTGCAATTCTAGTCGATTCATGAGTGCAACGATTTGCATGACTTTGTTTTCCAGTGTTTTGGTCAACTTCCCGATGATGGTGATGAGTTCTTGAAGACGATCTTCAATTGAAGTGGCTTTCATCACCATCAAAGGTATAGGCGTTTCAAAGGATGAGGAATAATTACCCCAATTTTGTTCATAGAAATTTTAGAGTAGGATCCATTCCTCTAGCCCATGTTGGAGTGTCTAACAAACAAAGAATTTTCAGTATTTGTTTTCAAATTGTGGAAGAATAGAAAGATGACTTCTTCTTTGTCGAAGTAGTTTTCCTTTTGCTTTGTTTGGAGTAATGCTTGATCGATGGCAAGAGTTGAGATTTACCCACCTTTGTTTGAACGTGAATTGTTAGGACTGGTCCCTCATCTACATCTTTTGACTTGTCGGTGAAAGGAACCCTAGTTTCTTTGGTCTTCATTGTTGATAGGCTTGTCAAATCATTAACTTAAGAGATAAAAGAAAAAGGTCTCACCATGCATACTAGAAATCTGTAATGACTAATTTTGGGTGTAATATAACACAAAATTACAATAGTTTGGTTTGATTAGAAAAATGGTATTGATTCTTTTTGGCATGCTTCTCAAGCACACAATCTTCTGATTCTCAATTGATTTGGTGAAGACGGACCTGGATTGACGTATTTCTCGATCTTCGATTTGATGATGCTTTGGTGAATTTGGCAAAGACAAGGGTTGGTCAGCGTGTCTCTTGATATTTGATTTAGTGTTGACGTTAGTGGACCTTTTTAATGTCCTTTGTCCTGATCAACTTAAAGATGATTTGAATCTTTTGAATAAGGACCTTGATAGTGGATTCTTTTCCTCATAGGCGGATTTGTAGGGCTTAGATAAGGGTGGGCTTAGGTAAAGCTTCCTTTCTCCTGGCTTCCTAACTTCCCAACCTCCTAACTTCTTAACCTCTCCTCCTTACCCTCCTTTTAGCCTCCTATTTAGAGTTAAGGTGGTTATAGGCGTATTTTAGTAAATACCGCTATGTGGGCTCCAAGGGCTAAGTTTGTATTAAATTTGGGCTTTAATGAATCTTGGGTTTAGGCCATAATATATTTAGACTTAGGCCCATTCAAATTGAGTTTTATGGGGTGCACCTTGAGCTTTTGTTATTTCTTCATTTGTTTTGTTTGGGCCTATGACATTTTAGGCCCTATCCAATTTGGTTCCATACTTATGGATTGGGCATCGGTGATTATTTGGACTTTATGAATTTTGGTCTAGCCTAATTTAATTTGAGAATTTGTTTAGGTTTAGTTTGAGCTTCAATTATAAACATTATTATTTTTCGATGTCTACAGTAATGATCAAATATATGGGTGTGAACTAGGGGTACAACTTGGGTTGGACAACCCGATTTTAACTTGAGCCCAACCCGAAAAAATTGAGGTTTGGGCAAGAATTTTTAATACTTAGGTCAAAAAATTTCAACCCGAATTCAATTTGAGTTGTGTTTGGGTTAAGGCCTCGAATTCACGGGTTCAACCTGAACCTGACAAATTAAAAAAAAATTATATATATATATATAAAGTATTAGCATTGGTATTTCATTTTTGGTGTGAAAGCAAATGATCAATNGATTGATATTTCATTTTTGGTGTGAAAGCAAATGATCAATAATCGTGCACTGTTATGAATGAANCTGAACCTGACAAATTAAAAAAAAATTATATATATATATATAAAGTATTAGCATTGGTATTTCATTTTTGGTGTGAAAGCAAATGATCAATAATCGTGCACTGTTATGAATGAAATGGTGGCACTGGTTTTTATGTGAATATTATATAATATATGTATTGGGTTTAAAACCACAAGTCTATTTTGGGTTCTACCTAAACTCAACCTGAATTGAACCTATAAAATAACTCGAAATTAGCTCAAAATCATTAACTCGAATCCAAGCCGAGTCCGTCCAAATTAAACTCGGGCAGTACTCGGGTTGAGTTCCTCAACCCGAGGTAGGGTTAGGGTTATAATTAAGGTTGAAGATTATACATCTAGGATTGGACTAGGGTTGGTTGTCCAACCCGCTTGAGTTGCACCCCTAGTGTGAACACACACACACATTAATCTAGTAACGATCAAATATTTACGTGAATCTACAAATTTTGAAATCAATTGAAACACAAAACCGAATAAACTCGTTCAACACTGACAAACATACAAGTATTTGAAATTTTCAAAGCTGGATAACTAGAGAGAGAGAATCCTTTTAAGATCTGGAACCAAAATTTTGAAAGATGACGAACACATGAATAACTGTGCATGACACACTACATAGCTACACGCAAAAAAAAAAAGCCTATTTAAGCTCATGATAATTGAGAATTATTCCTATNGCCTATTTAAGCTCAAGATAATTGAGAATTATTCCTATTGAGTGCCAGCGGACCTCAGTTACATTATATAATACATATAAGTATATACACTAGAGTGTCCAGTTAATAGCATGTTTGTTACAGTGGTTTAAATGTTCATTGTAGCTCAATTATTCACTATGATTAACAGATAAATATGATTGAATATTTACTACAGTTAAAAAGTAAGTAATAAATATTTTTTTGCCAATTACAATAACATTATAATTATGACATTGTGTAGCGGCAATATTTACATCACGAGTAATGCTAAATAGATTTAAAAAATAAACTTAATAATTTCAATCATTAACTTCATTATGAGTCTGAACATTTATTACGACCCACTACTTATTCAATATTTTAAATTATCAAGTCTAATTTTTAACTCCGTCTAATATTACTCTTCACATCAAATTCCCCGTAACCATGATGATTCAAATAAAAATTTTACTGAAACAAAAGTGAAAAAGAAATATTCATCAACAATAACAATGACCAAGTGAAGGCCAAAAAAAACAAGTGAAAGCCAGATATATTTTCCAAACCATCCCAAAAAAGTTGCTCACAGAAAAATGGATAATTGACAATAAACTGCTCATTTAATCAGGAAAGAATAACAATGTTGTCCCAACTCTTCACAAGATCGATCGTTATATTTCCGAACACCTAGCCTTACAAATTTCCTGAATTTAGCAAACACCAGAAAAACTAAATATAGTTGAAACAAGGTTAGAAAACGAGGCAGAGAAAGAGGGAAATGAGTGAATTTGGGTAAGAGATTGTCAGACAAAAAAAGTCAAGAGGCCAACATCTGCAGTACAGTTCATTCTCCGTTCGTTTTAAAAAATCTTGAAGAGTAGGCCACCGTGAGTAGCAAAGAAGGGAGCAAACACAAGAGATTCAACTGCCATGAGCTTGATGAGGATGTTCAACGATGGTCCAGATGTGTCCTTGAGGGGGTCCCCAACGGTGTCACCAATCACAGCTGCCTTGTGTGCATCAGATCCTTTAGGACCAAGAGTCCTGGCATGCTCTGAAGCACCAGCCTATCATCCCACAATCAACTCAGAGCATTAGATGCACTACAACATATTGTTTTCGAAGCATAAATTAAAGAAAGTCTACTTTCAATATTTAACCTCGATATATTTCTTGGCGTTATCCCAAGCACCACCAGTGTTGGATGCAGAGATAGCAATCTGCAAAAGATGGACAGGTTAAGGAAAAATGGTCACAGCAAAGCTTTTCTCATGACATATAATACATTATCAAAAATATTTGACAGTGAAACATAGCATCGTAGCACCCTAGACACAATAGCAAATTAATGGTTATTATCTAACTTATGGTACCATTATTCAATATGTTTATATCAAAACACTTGCATTTTACCTGCTATAAAACTACGCTGCAGCAATAAAATAAAATTCAAGTTCACATACATAACATAGACATATCATGAATCTGTAAGATCATATAATTTGGAAACAAAAAAGAAAAATGCAACCAGCAGTTATGACCAATAAATGACATTTCCTTAGTTTCAATGTGGAATTCCAATTTCCCCTCTGTGATTATTGTAAGATGCTACAATCCGAATATAAGCAGCTCTAGCTTTACCTGGACACCAGAGACTAAGGATCCAGTAAGGACACCAGAAAGTGTTTCCACACCAAAGAAGATACCCACAATAAGGGGTGTGAGCATGACAAGAGCGCCAGGCGCAATCATCTCTTTGATGGAGGCATCTGTGGAGATCTTGACACAGGTGGCATAGTCAGGCTTGGCAGTCCCTTCCATGAGGCCAGGGATAGTATTGAATTGCCTGCGCACTTCCTCAACCATCTTAAGAGCTGCTTTTCCTACACTTTTCATTGTCATGGCAGAGAACCAATAAGGAAGCATTGCACCCACGATCAAACCAATGAAAACTTTTGGTGTCAAGACATCTACAGTTGAAATTGAAGCTCGACTCGCAAATGCACCAAAAAGGGCCAGGGAAACAAGAGCAGCAGACCCAATGGCAAAACCCTAATAACAAATGCACAACAACAGTATTAAGGAATTTCTTTTGTTCTAGATTTTTTCCAAGCAAAAAATTTGCTGTGTCCCCTACAACCTTTAGACAGATGGAGACTCATGATCTACAATAATAATATTCAAACATCCATACAGAACAAAGACTGAAATGTCCTATAGAGATAGGTGCACATATAGCTGCTTGTATGATAAAAGAAAAGCATTCCCGGACCAGCAACCTTTCCTAAAATATTCTAGGACACTAAAAGGTCTTATGAAATTTAGACTCTCTCTCTCTCTCTCTATGTGTGTGTGTGACAAACACACACACGGGAACAATTTTAACTATAATACGACCATCTGAAGAGCCATTATCAACTGGAACAATACAAAAATTAATACTGGGCCATCATGTCCACACCCATTGACTTGGGTCACATGGGAAGCCCATAAAGTCCAAAAGGCAACACACCCCACACCAAGCATTTGCCTTGGTGAATATGCATAAAAAAGATCATTTAGATTAGTGGTCATTTAAAAGATCAACTGATGCAGAAAAAGAAGTGATCCGGTCTTTTTTTTTTATGAAGAGCATAAATTGGAACTGAAAGCCAGTACAACACAAACAAGGCTGCACTAACAGAAACAGCATCCGGAAATAAAAAACACCTTCACAAAGACCATATACCTTCCCAATAGCTGCAGTGGTGTTTCCTGCAGCATCAAGGGCATCAGTTCTTTCCCGTATTCTGTGGCTCATGCCAGCCATCTCAGCAATGCCTCCAGCATTGTCACTAATGGGACCATATGCATCAATAGCCAAGCCAGTAGCTATAGTGCTTAGCATTCCAAGGGCAGCTACTGCGATGCCATACATAGCAGCAAAGCTAAAACTAACAAAAATGCTGATTGCAATGGCAAAAATAGGAATTATGACGGATTTATATCCCAAAGCAAGGCCAAATATAACATTTGTAGCAGCTCCAGTGCGACAGGAATCGGCGACATCTTGCACGGGGCTGAAAGACAATGCAAAGCTAGCATTAACACAAGTAATCCCTACAAGATGAAACAAGGAGAAACTTGAATCCTGCGAAACCTGGGTACCTGTAAGCATTGCTTGTATAGTACTCAGTTACAAATCCAATAATAAGCCCAGCCCACAAACCAACACCAACGCATAAGAACAGTTGCCTGCATGTGTTTAATGTCAGATACTTGAATATATGAACTATAGCAAGTCTCAGAAATATTCCCAACAATTTGCAGTTTGACTTCTTGTACAAGAACTCCATTAATCTAACAGTGTTTGAGATACATTGCTATAAGGTAATACATGACACATATAGATCGTTTCGAGTTTACCAGTTTTTAACTTCTTTCTGAACTCCAAAATCGTAAATGGTGAAGGAAGATGGAAGGGCAATCCAACTAACAATTGCGATTCCAACAGTCATTATCGCAGTGGATATAATGAGTTGCTTCTTCAATGCTGGCTCAATATCCTTCACGTCCCTCACCTCGAAGAAGTCGGTAGCAAATAAGGTGGTCAGCAAACAAACAAGGATGCCAACAGAACTGATGAGGAGAGGATATAACATTCCAGTCAACTCCTGGTTGATCCCGAAGGAAGAGATAGAAGCAACAACTAGGGCAGCACAGGATGACTCAGCATAAGAGCCAAAGAGATCAGATCCCATACCAGCTATATCTCCGACGTTATCACCAACATTATCAGCAATCACCTGTAGAAATTCAATAATCTATGAACCCAAGATGTAAACAATTGGGAGAAACATCTTTGTATTAAAAATTGTATCCTACCGCTGGATTTCGGGGATCATCCTCTGGGATGTTTCTCTCCACCTTTCCAACAAGATCAGCGCCAACATCAGCAGCTTTTGTATAGATACCTCCTGCGACTCTGCCAAAGAGGGCCATGGAAGATCCACCAAGGCCATAACCAGTTATAGACTCAAATAAACCTTCCCAGTCATCACCATAGTACAGCTTGAAGAGGTTGATTGTGATATACAGCACCAGGAGACCATTTGCAGCAAGGAGGAAACCCATGACTGCACCAGATCGAAATGCAGTGATAAAGGCCTTTCCGACGCCTTTTCTTGCCTCCAAGGTGGTTCGGGCATTTGCAAAGGTTGCAATTTTCATTCCAAGAAATCCGGAAACTACAGAAGTGACAGCACCAAGCAAGAAAGATATGGTGCTGAAGACGGCAGTAGCAAGAGCAGGTTTGCACATTTTCGAGCTATCGAATGTACAGGACTGGCTCTTGGTGCTAAATCCATCCACAGAACCGAGGAAAACAAAGATCAAAATGGCAAAAGCAACCATGAAAACACCAACATACCTGTATTCTGTGTAAAGGAACGAGGTCGCCCCTGTGACATCAAAGAACCCAATATTAGAATACCCTAAAGATCTCCTCACATATTGAAAAGCATCCGTTTGAACTGTACAAACCTATTGTTGGCATACATTTAGGGAAAACTCTAGAAATAAGTCCAAAACATTGTGTGATGATTATCATAACATAAGCATCCCTTACTACCATTTCAAACTAAAATCTAAAAGGAATGCCGGGAATTAATGACACTCCATATCAACTAATCATCCAGCATTTAAATGCAAACGAAAAATAAGATACCACCAGCAAGCCAGAACCACCTAGTTTAATCAATCCCAACATTTAAAATAACTAAACTTAAAAACAAGTAATAACTCAATCATTTTGGCCCTGAGTTGAGATCTATCCAACAACTAAGTTCACAATTGCAATGGTTACAAATTAATTCCTGAAGCCATGGACAGAGTAACAAAGTAGAAGAGGAAAAAGACAGTTGAATGGCCTAATTTTCTATGAAATTAAATTATCAAGGTGCCTTTTAGGTTGCATTCTTAATTTACCCACCAATCTTCTAGAATAATATCCATCTATTAATATTGGAGCTATCAACATACCTCATGCTATATATTTAGTTGTAAATTCCCATGAGATTCCACCATTTTTCAACATGGTTGGTTCATTAGTTCTTTTGATGTTCCCATTTCCTATAATGACCCCAGTTATGGGGCTTTATGTTAGTTGCAGAAAACGCATAAGTGCACTTTCTGATTAAGATTCTCCAAGCATTCCCAGATCTGATGTATGATAGAAGGCACCCATCCTGAAGTCATACAATCCAATATGACATCACAGGCAACCACAGTAACAGAAGTAAAATCAAGAATTATATTTTACCTCATTGTGGTTTGAGTCAGTTACACACTTTCCCACCGTGTTTTAAAAGCCTACACTGCACCATTATAGTATAGGAACAAATTGTAAAAGCTAAAATAATTACTAATTTAATATGAAAAGACAATAAAGCCCTTCATTTTTTATTAATTTTCATAGCTTTTTTTTTTATAATAATGCTACAAAAGTTGAAAATTATACTTAGATGCATGAAAAGAGAACATAGAGAAAGATACAGTTTTCCCAGAAATATAATCTGCAAAATGATAATAAAATTAACAATGTAAAAAATAGACCCATGTGAACACGTCTTTTGAGATTTTGTATAGTTTGAATGAGGCCAACAATGACAGTGATGCCTTTGCTTGGTGGTAAAACAAAATTGGAAGAAGCAGACACTTATGCTAAACTATCAAAAAAGATCTATAAACAATAAGAAATGAACTGTTGAACATTAGGTGGCCTATTAACACAAACGAAAACAAATTGTAACTAACTTGTATAAATATGGACGGCCACGCTGGTTGATAATTAATTGCTGCAGATTTTGAATAATTCTAAGATTAAAGTATGGTAGGTCACATTAGTACCAATTACATTCATAGATGAAGTCCAAATACTCTAGCCCTAGTATAAATACACGTCCCCACAAAGGAAGAGTATTATAAAACTTACCACCAACCACCAACCACCAAAAACAAAATAAGCAGCTAGATCTTAATGAAATCCACATAAATCTAAACAAACAACATTAGGTAACCATACAAATCAGGCTTCAATCCCCACTAAGTCCAGGAAACAGGATTCGAATCACCATGATAAATGGGGTGGGATATGGGGTTAAGTTTCTCATAGCTAACAATCAAACAAAAGCAATACAAATATACAATAATCAAACTTGATATCGGCTGTAAAGGAACCAAATCACTTAATCACTTAATTTGGCGAATAGGCGGAATACCTGAGAATTCCTGTTACTTAGTCTGCTCTGATTTGTAAATTTGAGTTATACCCACTCCCAAGTAAATTACAGACCAGTTAAAAATAATAGTCAAAAATAAGTATCTAACATTGAATTCTTTGACTTTCCCAGCTTCAACCCTTCATACAACCTGTTTCTTTCTTCAAAACATAGAACTTAAGTTCAAAATCAATGCGCCTAGTCATTCAAAGATGAGAAAAATGCACCCAAAAAAAAAAAAAAAAGGAGATACGTTTTATATATAAGGAACTGAACCGTCACAAATCAGTATGCATGCACGTCAAAAATACGTATACACAAGAACATATTCATATAGAGAGTGAGACTCAAATAAGTTCATATACGTATAAATACGAAAAATATTGCTTGAATTCGTTGCAGAAAAAGAATTGAATCAAAAACGAAAGAAATTCAAACACCAGATCCGTTAATAAATCAAGATCTGAGCTAAAAAAATTCGTCTTGAGAGCTCATCGAAGCATATAAATTTTTACCTTCAGAGATGGCGTTTTGAATTTCGGCGCATTTCTGCACAACGTTGTGGTCGTTAATACCTTCTTCTTCTTCAATTAGTGATTCCGTGAAGCCGTTCTTGCCATCTCCGGCGACCTTCTCCGTCGAGAGCTTGACACGGGAGACGAGGACCCACTGGAAAAGAGAGAAAATGATTCCGATAACGGCGCAGACTGGAATCAGAATCTCGGTTGCGAGATCTGGCAGAATGGTCGTCCCCATGGTGGAGCTACAGCGGAGTAGTAGTTGCTTCAGTACGAATCTCGCCGGAAAATCAAGAGACTGTATGGAAAAGGATATATTTGGCGCTTTTGTGCGCTGGTTCTGTGGCTCTCACTCCCTCTGGATTCGTTTGCGAACTCAAGCAGATAGATATACCCATATACAGAGAGAGACAGAGAGAGAGAGAAGGAAGTGAAAATTGTGGGGTAAAATACAGAAAAATCAGAAAGTGATATTACCGGGGGTATATGGTTAGTTCCAAGGTGTTCTTTTCTTCATCGAAGATGTACGCTTACCTAGTTACCAACAATACTATTTAAATTTATTTTATTAATTTATTTTATAAACTTAATTCATAATAATCATTGAATTGATAAAAAATTTTAATTAATATTAAAATTAATTAATTTTAATCAATAAATTAAGTTTATATAATATTTTTTTTGGTATAAAAATTTAAATATCATTGTTCATAAGATAAATTAAGAGATACCAAAATAAGAATGATTCAAAATAACAAAAATATGCCGTGTTGTTTGAAAATAAACTTCAAGTTTTTTAATTAACAAATAATTTAAATTTTGAGGTCTGATTAGAAAACTTGAACTAATTGATTTTTCTTAAAATTGAAAGTAATAAAAATTGACCTTTGAGTAAATTGTGATCATTCTTGTTAGTATCTCTTGTTAACTTTTTGTTTTTTTTTTTTTTATTTTGTAAAAATAAATTAATTTAGGATTGAGAGTTTACAAAGAAATGAATATATTAACTAATCTTTGGTCTAATAGTACTTCTTATTTTATGAAGATTTTGTCTTCTTGAGTTCATAGTTCAAGTCCTCATTTTCCTTCCCCCTCTTCCCAAAAATAATAACAATAATATAATAGAAATGAATATGCATGAAAGATTGAAATTAAAAGAATAAATCAATTGGTATATAAAAAATAAACACTTTTTTTTTTATTTTACCCCCCAAGGTGTTGTAAATTGTTCTACTTTTGTGACGCGGAATTAATTCTATTCACATATCTCCCTATAAAGTTAGAAAAAAAGTCAACTAACTAATTTTAAAAAAATTATTAAAATAAAAAATCATCTTGATCACTTCTTTTTTTTTTTTGTTTTATAATTGTTTTGTAAATTTATAATATACATATTAAGTCATAAAATATGTGTATGGATTTATTTAGGGTATTTTTTTTTTTAACAATATTCAATTTCAACATCTCAAAAATATTAACTACAAAACTCCAGACATCCGAGTTTACGCGGGGTGAGACACAAAGACGTCTTTAATTTTAACCAATTACTTAGATGAATTAATTTGTATTAAAATGACTTGAAATGTCGTTTAAATGAGTCTATAAATATGAAACCAATCTTCAATCAATTACCCTGTTAATTTAATCATTGGATTAGATTAGCATCCAAGTCGGATATCCGAGTTAGTCTCAATATCCGAGTTGACGTGTACTGTTGTAGGAAAGTCAAGACTTATTAAAAACGGTATAAAGATAAAAGCCGAACGACAGCGTTTGAATATTTTGCTTAGCTTAGACGACCAAACCAAGCTTCGATTCCAACTTAGTCGTCGCTAATAATAAGGTACGTTGAGATGTCGGCATATTCGGATAAAGCGTATTTGACCCGCAGACCGCATATTTCGTGCCCGAACCAACTTTCGTTTTTTTACTTTTGTCTTCAAATTTCAAAGCTAACCAGCCAGCCACTTTTTAAAAAAAGTGATATATGTAATTTTTTCTTCTTTTTTTTTATATATGATTATTAAATTAATGATTAAAAATCATCTAAACATATTAATTTTGATATTATATTACTGTGGTATCATAACAACCGTTGAATTCCCATGATTGCATTATATTTTCACTCGATTTTATGGGCATAACTATTACTAGTTGTTCCTTGAGAATAGANATAAGCTTTTTATTTCTTGTGTGGAAATGTAATTTATTTACTTCAAAAATGGCAATCTAGTGTGTCAATCAGTCATATTCATGATGCCTGGAATATATATTCATTTTTCGGTGCGCTCAATTCATTTGGTTGCATATGCTTGTACTTGGAACAACTAGAAAGAAGAATCATTGAGGTGAGATATAAATATAATAGCCCCTTCCAAAAGTCTCTCTAATCATGAGAAAACAATAAAATNGGATTGGGCTCGGGTTAAGGCCTCGTGAACCCGAGTTCAACCCAAATCAATCAAATTTTAAAAAAAATTATATATATATATATAAAACATTGGCATTGATTTTTCATTTTTGTTCTATCGTTCTTTGTCTCTCTCGTTCTCTTTACCTCTCTTGTTCTCTCAGCCTCTCTCGTTAAAAACTTGGTTGAAGTTATTGGTTGTTAATTTAAGTGAATATTATGTAATATATGTATTAAATTTAGAACAACAAGCCTATTTTATATTCTACCCGAATTGAACCCGTAAAGTAACCCGAAATTAGCCCGAATTCAACCCAAGTCCGCCCAAATTAAACTCGGGCAGTACTTGGGTTGAGTTTTCCAACCCGAGGTAGGGTTAGAGTCGAAAATTATATACTTAGGGTTGGACTCGAGTTGATTGTCCAACCCGCCCGAATTGCACCCTTACTATTAGGTCAAACGATGTTTGCACCATGCAGCAACTATTAAAAACTCATGCTTGAAAATAATTTACAAAACTAAAAATTAAACATTAACAGTATAAATTTTATATTATTAATAATAGCTTATTTTTTTTGTTCTTTTTTTTAACTACGCAATTTGAAATTAAAGTAAATAAAGAGAAAATAAGAGAGATAATGTGTGTGTGTGAGAGAGAGAGAGAGAGAGAGGGTAAGTTTAGAGTAATGAGGCTTTTTCCCATTATAGGTGAGTTTTTTTTTTTTGGAGGATAAATGAGAAGGGGGATTTGAACCCTTAATTTTTACAAAACAAAGAGTACCATTGAATCAAAAGTTTATTAGTTCATATAGAGTGCAATGGTTGAATTGCCTGACATTAGGAACTGTGCAGAAAAAAAAATGATATTTTTGAGAGGAAACAAAAAATAATTTTATGTGCACCAAAAATATGTACAAAAACTTTCACTGAATCATTTGTAATCGTTGGATCAATATGTTATATCACTGATCCAATAACTACAGTTGATTTGGTGCAAATTTTAGTATTGTACAATTGGATTAAAATAGATAAAAAATAAAATTAATCATAACCGTTGTTTTGTTTTTATAAATTAAGAATTTAATTTTTTAATTGTAATATTAAATAAATTATCCATGACTCACCTAAGGCTCCGAAATGCAAGACATTCTGTAAAAATTGATGATTCTCAACAAACAAGGTCTTTTTTCCTAAAATTGGGAATGTTTTTTCGGTAAGTTAGTTGATTGTTATAATAGTCTAATTAGGTTAGTTCTTGATAGGAGTAACGGATACGGTTATGAGCCTCATGATCTCACTAGTGAGGGTCTGTCGAAGTGGTCTTTAAACGCTTTTCTTTACCTTCATCCTTTTAAAAAAAAAGAAGATCAAAAAAATAAAAAATAAAAACTAAGGATGTTAATTGTTAACTCAAAAACATGGTACAATAGCATAAAAAAAAAAAAAGAAAAGACCCTTACTTGGAACCATATACAGAGGTACCTTGGTCCTTTTGCTGTAGAGTAAGGAATCTTCTAAGTAAAGCCAAAAACGATAACAATCAGCATCTGCACTTTTGACCAAAAGTTTTTCATGCACTTCGTTGACAATGCAAATAAATTGTTTAGAATTTCCACTTTCATATTTGATTTTATATTCTTAATAGTTATGGATATTGAGCTGATATTTGAACAGTGTGTCTTTTTAAGGATATTCCATCATCCAAAACAGAAAAATAGACTAATTTCTATCCTTTTTTAACTTCTTGTTTTTCTTTTTTCTTTTTTAATTTGCCACTTATGATTTTTGTACCGTAAAAAATCAAAATCAGAGTGATGATAAGTACTCATTTGTCTCAACGATGCATAACAAGTTCACCACTACTAAATAAACACTTATGTTGAACACCAATGCGCTCTAAAAACTTAAACCGTTAGAGAATGGTGTAACATAAGTGTTTATCAAAACCTAGAAGTTCTAAGTTTAAATCACACCAAGCCTCCTCCCTACAAAAAGAAAAATGAAAATAATCACGTGGATGGACCCATCCATAAAGGGGTCATGTGTGATGGAGATTATTAGATAAATACTTATATTATACTATTTTCTAACAACTTAAACTTTTAAAATATATGGTTGTTCAACAAGTACTGATAACTCACCTATCTTAAATGAGAGTAAAATTATTAACCCTTTATTTTTTTTAAATTCACTATAGCCAGAAATTTTGTGCACCGGGTATGACCCGGTATATTTTTTGTTTTTTGGTTTTAGTTGTGGTTTTGATGTCATGGTCACGATGAGGAAGAAGAAGAGACAACAAATGGGTTGGGTGAGATAAGATTGGGAGTGTGCTTGCATGGCTGGTTAGTGGTTATACTGTGGGACCTTAAGCCCATGCTTTGGAACCTCAACCCCATACCTGTTTCTAAATCTCACCTTTTGTTGTGAGAAAACAGTTTGACAGAACAAATGAATGCATTCAAAAGAAAGCACAAAGCTAGCCCTATGAATTTAAATCCGTTTGATGTTTCCATCCCACATGTGCTAAGCAAATATCGTTTTTGAATTTCTTAAACATGACCAATCCTTCCGCACGCATAAAAAATATGCACCGAGCAATTATTAATGTACACCTAATCTCCATGTATATTTGAATTATGGTTCAACATACACCGAACAATTATTAAAATGTAAAAATAACGGCTTGGTTTGCGTGACAAAAGTGAGTTGGCATGTTGTCCTCACATTTAGAAATTGCAAGCAATAATGGACGGTTATAAGCTTGCACACACATCAAATCAAATCAATGTGCGCTTCCCTTTGATTTTTTAACAACCCACTGGGGACATTGACAATGACACAAGAAACCATTCCTTCCGAGAGGCAATGATGGAGACATTTAACATTTACGGGCTTTAGAGGTCTTTTGGACGTGTAATGTGCCCTGTCTTTGTCAAATGTGAACAATGACTAATTGGGATTTTAAAGAGCTCATAGTCATGGGAAGCTTCTCCATACATTATTATTGTATT